AGAAACCTCAGTCTTTCCTCCGTGAATCATTCCATAAGTTCTTCAAGAAAAAGGCCCCTTTCCAAGCGGGAACGATTATTTGCCCTGCTTCTTAATCCTAATACAGAACAAAAAAAAAAAAAAAAAAAATTAATTAAAAAATAAAATAAAATTCGAATTTCACCATGCGGCTCATTTGGCACGCTCGGACGGATGGCGTTTAACTTCATCTTAGGATCGAATTTTTAGTTTTTAACAAATAATTAATCTAACTTATTATTCATTGTTCTTCTTAAAACAAATAAAAAATAAAAAATACAGAACAAAAATTCATGTACTTTTGTCTTTACTGTCGGATCAAGTTATATCAACGGTCTAAAATGGTTTTACCACATTATCCTCCTGCAGTACAGTTTTGTCCTTTTTTTCACTTAATGACTTTGGTGTTGGAGAGAAGCTCGTGAAAGTGGCAAAGCCCTGAAGCTGTACATACGCCGGCGAACTTGAGGGCTTGGTTGGGAAACCGTGACGGGCGCTGTCTTACCTTTTCTACGTTTCTTACGTTTATTCTTTTCATTGTTCTTTCTTGGCTAAGGAAAACTCACGAATTCCATTGAAGTTGCAGATACTACACAGTGCCTGGCCCTGAATTCACTGGGAGAATCGATCCACCCAGCATTCAGAGGACCTAGACCCTAGGAAACCTTGCTCGGGAATCTCTGGATATAGATAAACCCAAAAGCTTGACTTTTTTGTTGTCCATTTGGTATCAATTGGGTCTGTTAATTGGGGTTTTTCAGGTTGATAGACAAAGAAGGTTATTTAATCGGATTGTTTTGATTATTGGGTGCAAAATGGCTGTAGCATCCTGGATAACGACTACTGTCCCGTTATTTTGTCGTCCTCAACAGTTCCCTCAAGTTGTTTCTACTCCAGTTCCACATTTGAGCTTCCACATCATGGAAAAATCCGAAGTTATGCGCTGTTCCAGACATAGGAATTTAGCTAGGGTTGGCTTGGTTGATTCAGGACAGGGTTCATCTTCCGTAGATTCCCATGACGGAGTGTGGGAGGACCCTGATGATGGTAGTGGAAGTGAATACAATGAAGAGGACGAGGAAGTCGAAGGGAATGAATCTGATTTTGATGGAGATGATGTTGCTGCTGTTAACAAATCTGCAGGGAGCCAGTACGAGGAGGACTTGGCTAGAGGTTGGTTTTAGTCTCATTGCTTATTGCTTATTTCTCTTGTTTTACTCCAGTTTCTTGTTTGTTTATTTGAAAGACACTTGTTTGCTATGTTTTCTGTTATTGAAAGATGAAAATGGTGTAAATCATTCATTGAAGTCCAACGGCATAAAGTAAGACGATCAGTGGAATTGAATTTCCTGGAAGAAAGCTAGAGAAATTATTGAAAACAAAGGTGTGATGTTGCTTGTCTGTCCTTCTAATAACCTGAAACTCAAATAAGATGTTTCTAATCCTTGATTCAGTGAAAAAGGCTTCAAAACTTTGGTTCTCCACTTCCTCTGATCCTTTTGCCAAAAATAGTGTAAATGTTTTTTACATTATTTCCCCTTAACTTAAGGCTGTTAATTCAAATTGCTCATAATTAGCCTGGACAGTATTTCTTGAGGAGAAACTCTGGTTAAAGTTGATTAGATCATTTAGTATTTTCTTGCTGCCATCCAAACGTAAGCCCTGAATGATGACCTTGAAAAATAGATATGAGAGGGAAATTACTTGCTAACTTGTCTATGTTGGATAAAGGGGATATATATGGTATGCTGCTTTTCTGGCTGGCATTTGCAACTGATGAAGGATATTATCTATTGATAGGTTAACATTTGTCCTCTTCCTGTTGAAGAAAAAGTTCAGATTGAATTAACCAATTCTATAATACTAAACACAGTTGCCCAATTGGGACCAAATTGATTGACATCTCATTTTTTACAGCTTTACTCTTTTTGCAATTCTAATTTTTTCCATTTGTACCACCTACTTTTGTCACTAATTATTCACTTACTTGGAACTGTACCTTATTTTGTGTTGCACCATTGTTATCCAGTCTATAATACACTTGTAGGACCATCCATGTTTTAATAATTTGTTGACCATTTTCTAAACTTATGATCCTTTGTTGCAGAAGTTGAACAGCTTCTGGGACCAGAGGAGAGAGCAATTTTGCAGCAGAATACTGCTCCTAATCTGGCCAAAATATCAACTGTAAATTTTAATACCTTGTAGCTTGTTGATCATTTGCAATTTCATTTTCCTCTGTGGCTCTCTAACAGAAGACCTTCCTGCTGTTTATTACTTTTAACAAGGAATTTTTACTGAGAATATAATTGAGCAGTCTGTTTACTAAATTTTAGAAATGTATTAGTTGTCCATCCTCTTATGGACTGATTATTTAAGTTCTTGTAACTTCAATTGCTAGGCCAAATGGAGACCACTTCAAACTCTCGGACTGTCAGTGCAGATACCATTCATGGACAAGCTACTTGAAAATGGGGTCGATATAGATGAGGTTGACAAGGTAACTTCATTGAAATTTGATGTCAAAGTTTTAGTGTTGCTATGTTTCTTTTCATGTATTGTAAGAAATATGATCTGATATGGAACAGGATGGCCTCACTGCTCTTCACAAGGCAATTATTGGTAAGAAGGAGGCTGTAATTAGTCATCTGATGAGAAAAGGTGCAAGTCCACACATTAAAGATCGGGTGAGGACAGCATTTCCACCATT